AGCCACGGGCCTTAACAACCGCTACGTACTGGTGGTTGAAGAATTTTGCCCAAATTTCCTTTTGAACCATTAATACTTTTTCCTATTGACCGAGGATTTCAAAAGGAGTGTCTAACGACGCCCTATTCATAATTGGTTCCGATATGTAAATTGGGATGCTGGGCCCGGTTTCCAGCTGGTGCAGCTTCTACTGGGGTCATATTCGTGGAGGGTGCTCCTATCACCTCTGCGAATAGACCCCTTCCTGATGTTAGGAAAAAAAAAAAAAAAAAAGACCTGGGTTGATGCACCCTCATATTTTTGTCTTTTATGCATGTGGAGTGCATGTGGAGTGCATGTGGAGACTGGTGCAGCGAGGCCCATGGTCTGAGCGTGCCCTCAGCGGTGCACGTCCGTCTCGCTTCCTGACAAACTCGGCTGAAAACCTTGTGGTGGGCTTCTCGTGCCACGCGGGGTGGCCAAGAGGGGTGGGTGGCCTGCCATCAAAACGCAACAGCCTGAGCATCACGATGTCTTTGGGCCTCCCTCCACTACTCACGACATCTGAAAACGAGAATGAATCTTCAGTTAGAACATGGAAAGGTACACCGCTCTATTTTTTTTCTATTTTCTGTTTTTTATTATTTATTATTTTTTGTCTATTTTCTATTTTGTGCTACTTCTTTTTGTCTATTGTCTATTTTGTGCATTATTGGTGAGTATGCGAGCGAGGCTGTTTATCATGAGGTACATGCGAGCACAGGCAGTGTCCAGCCAGGCAGCTGGGGCAGCACAGAGTTCCCGCGTTTCGTTTTTTCCTCGTTTTCATTTTTTATGGCCTTGAGATATCATCATCGAGCTGACCCACCTTCAAGAAAAAAAAGATTGATCTTTCACAAAAAAAAAAAAAAAAAAAAAAAAAAAAAAAAAAAAAAAAAAAAAAAATCATTGCATACATCTAGGTCCATGAGTATTCGAACTCCGGTCTTGTACTTGAACAGTTCATTTGGCGTAGCAACTGAGCTACCTTCTTCCCCCGAATACAACGTTTGATCATCATAACTGTACATATTTCGGGTATCTTCTTCTTCTTTTTTTTCTTTTTTTTTCTTTTTTTTTTTTTAATGCTCCATTCTATTGGTAGAGGGGGTGGAATACAAATATAATGACCGTACGTTGTATTCGGGGGAGGAAGGTAGGCTGATTGGTAGTTCCGACGTTTCCGTCCGTGCTTCTGCGGGATGAGAAGGGCGCCTCGCCCTTCGGGATCTCCGTTACAATTGGAGCGCTACAGAAGAGACTCTGCGCAAGGATGACAGGCATGGAAAAAAAAGGGAGAAAAACTAGCAAAGAGGATCGGATCGAATGCCAGAATCTGGACGTGTTTGTCGAGAGGTGCAGGAAATCGAGATTGAACTGCTTTTCTGCATATCTGCATAAAACACGTCCACATTCGGGCATTCGATCCGATCCTCTTTGCTACTGGGACCTCGGCCTAGTTGCACACTGGCCATTGCCAACATTTCGAACGAATACTCGAAAAAAAAAAAAAAAACATTTCGAATGAATACGTCATTCGTGTTGATGCATTCAAAATCTTGGGGGATAGCGAGCGGTGCAGGTAGGCCCCGATACCCCTACGGAAGGTGGACAATGGCCACGAAAACGTTAACCAATCAGGCAGCGCGAATCGGAAGCACAAATCTCAGAGCAGGAGGCAGAAAACACGGGGGCAAGTTTTCATTCGCTGGATGTTCTCTCGATAGGGGGTTGGCACATGGGTTAGGGTTTCCAGGACATGGGCACGTGGGCTCAAGTCTTTGCTTTTTCTTTTTTTTGTCATAAGGTTAATTCTATTACTCGTGAGATATGGACAGGAATCCAGCCACCTAGCTCAGTTGGTTAGGCCCGCATATGGCATTCACGAGGTTCTGGGTTGGAGCCCCACGACCAGCTGCGGAGCACTTAGGGCCAACTCACTGCGATAGTCCGCTTGATACCCCTCATCGGTATGAACTGGGTCTATGCGCATTCACGAGGTTGTGGGTTCAAGCCCCATCACCACCTGCGGCGCACTTAGCACCAACTGACTGTGATAGTCCGCTTGATATCCCTCATCGGTATTAACTGGGTCTATGGCCTGGACCCCACTCCCCGGCGGTTTGGAAAAGTTCGGGCGCTGTAGTGTTTTCCAGACGCCACAGGTGTTCGAAACCGGTGTGGAAAGTCGGCCCGGACAGGAAATTCAGACCGTTCTTGGAAGCACGTCGCGGAAATCCTGATGGGGCGTTTCTACTCGGTCGGTGGTCTGGAAATGCAACGCCGACCGCTTTCCATTCCCTTTCCAAGGAGGCGTCCAGACGAGCAGGGGGGGGGACATGTCCATCCATTTCCAGACAACGGCTGGACGGCGTGGACCACGCACCCTCGTTGTGGACCGTTTTTTGGAGCGGGAGGCCGCCCACGGACATGCTCTTGTTTTTTGTCATCGCACGGTTCTCCCAAGGGACCGAGGGTCTGGGCCACCCTCGCTTTACGAACGGCATGGTGCTTCAAAATTCGAATTTTGGGTGGGGTGAGGACGAAGGCCAGCCATGCAATCGCGACATTCATTTCCTACGCGTGCATGGGAAGCATGAGCAGTGATTCCGATAGCTGGCCGTCGCCGACACCTCCATTAAACCCTCCTGCCCTGTGCGGTCCGTGCATGATGCCATCACTCACCTCCTTTGCGCATGCAGGGCGCGAGGCCTGTCTATAGGGAAGCCGTTTCAGGTGGCGTCGTCAGACGGTCTCTGGTCGGGCCTTGCATTCGGAAGTTGTGGGTTTTGTGGCGAACAGCATCTGTGGAATGCGCGGACGAGAACCTGCGCTCTTGGTGTCACCCGCGCACACACGTACCGACCGATGATGTGCTCCTGTGTTGTGGCCGTGACACATTCCGTGCTTCGTCGTCTACCTCCCTTGCCATCCTCAGTTCTTCGTCTACCTCGTCAGGGCACGAAGTTGTCCTCTCGACAGAGCAACCCCAGCACATGTGGGCAGGGATGGGCTGCACATGCGGGTGTGGTTATAACTCCTCATCCACACACTCGCCACGTGTCAGTCATTGAACGCTATCGTCGCCCGTGTGGATGTGACCGGTGCCATCGACCCTATTGTGTGGTTGTTGTCATCAACAACCACTGCTGCGGAGGCGGGCGACGGAAAAACCCATCTTGCGTTGTTTTCATAGGCCTGGTTGCAATCGTCATCATCCTTTCGACGACTTTCTTCTTCTCCGTTGTTTTTTGGTGCGTGCTCGTGTACTTCTGCTGTCGTGGGTGGAGATAGCACCGAAAGGTCGGATCCGAGGAAGGAGCACGTGGTGTTCGGTGTTGCCTTCGCTGTTGGCGCTTTGCTGCGAAATGGAGTCAGATCCTTGTGCAAGCATTGACGGGGGATTCCAGTCCCAGGAAATGGATACGCAAGGATCTGTCCCTTACTCCTCGCCTTCACCGGCGACGATGCAGCCCTTCGGTGGGCAGTTGCACTAGGGTAATGCGAGGGTGTCCGGCTCAGGGCGCGTCGGGCAAAAGTGGTTCCGACGGTAGAGCAACGGAAGAGTCCGAGGGTGCAGCGAAGAAGCGGAGGACGAATACTGGCAAAAAAAGGATGGACGACACGACCAACTGTGGGAGAGTATTGGGGAGGGCCATGGAGGACGCGACAAGGTCGAATAGCGAAGGTTTGGATGAGGCCGCCAACACTCTGGCAAAGGCAACGTCGGAGGCCGGCTCAGCGATCGCAGCGAAGATTGGTGACATGGCAGATGCCATGCATGGGGGGTACACTGTCCTTTAGATGCTTGTGGGGGTTCTTGCGAGGCAGGGTGGGGGAAACAGCGGTGCACACGGGAGACCCCTCGTCGCGTTAGCACTCGAGGATAACAAGTCATTAAAAAAAAAAAAAAAAAAAAAAAAGGAGCACAAAGAAAAAATCAATCGTTCTTATATATATATATCGTCAAATAGAACTGCCCGGTAAACCGTAGGCAGAGAGGGAGAAGAGGACAACAAACGAGGGGCTGTGACTCTTCACAAACAGAACTGCCCGGTAAAACCATAGGCAGAGCGAGAGAAGAGGACAACAAATATATATATATATATATATATATGTAAATTCTGGGAGAACCCGGTTCATGGTACCGAAACAAGGGACGGGACTCACCACGCAGACGCCGAGACGGGAAACGGTATCCGCCCTCTGTGTATATATACGTGGCCAGGAGCCTGGATTCAACGGCACCACTAATGTTGGTGGGCGTTCCTTCAGTCGATGAGGTTGGCTGCACGTCGCTTCTCGTAGTGGTGGGAGGAGAGGTGTGCATGTGAAGGCAGTGCTAGAGAGAGAGAGAGATTGAGGTAGAGAGAGAGCGAGAGAGAGAGAGGAGGGGGGGGAGAGGGG